ATACTTGAAAACTCAGGTGCTGTGACAAGCTGACGATGGAAAGCATTTGTCCAACTACTTGGACGATCAATAAAGCTACTTGACCTTAAGAGCAAGAGGCGGAGCCCGGAATTTCACATAGGAGGTGAAACGCGGTCCAAACGTTCCTTGCTGCACGAGAAATGTGCTTTATGAAATGTTACGAATAAACATGCATTCTTCCAAATTAAATCTTCTCCCAATGTTCTAACATTAATGACTTTAACTGTTTGCTTTATAATTTTCATCATCCTCAATTTAATCAAATTTTTTTTCACTTTTGCTTGTATATAACATTACATTAAGATTAGTGCAACACAGGGAAAAGCTCAATTGAGGTATCGTATCATCAGGAGTTACACTGACAATTTGACTCTGAAAAGATGTTTCCTTCCTCGCAGATAAACTGACTTTTACTCAGCACCAAACTTACCCCCTCCCCCCCCGCCTCAAATATATTTCATACCGCGTCGCATAATGCGGAAACAAGAGTCAATCCTTTGCATGTACGATCACGCAGTAAAATTAACAATTGGTTCTAGCTTCTTGAGTGCTCTCCAAACTTCCCAAGTGCTTCATATCTCGATGAACGCACAGCTGACGTATGAACTAATTGTTTTATAACATTTTCAACCCGATGGGAAATTTTTTTTCTCGAGGGATTTATTTGCTGACGTCATGAGCGTGCACAATAGGAATATGAAGCACGCTCGTGCAATTGAATTTGATTAGACAAATTTACGAGCTATGTTATAATAAACACTTATGAGATTCATATCTAATCTGTCAAAAGAAGACTTCGTTTCTTCATCGTAACTTTATATTTTGTGTTTGTCCCGTAATGTAATCAAAGAGGTTTGTTGTTTCGGTTTGGCTGTTTCGATAGGTTTTCTCGTTTCGGTCGTTTCGTCTCGATGGTTTTGTGTTAATGTTACGGGTTTCAGTGCACTTCTTGCATTATTTGAACGTTGTACTTTGAACTTAGAGGTGAGGCGGTCGGGAAGGACTGTAGGATTTTGGCAAACTCTCGATCGGTAAAAGTCTTAAAATTCAATTTGCATTTCGAGTAAGTTGTCCAGATTGAGGTCATCCTAGAGGTTCTTCTGATTTTAAACCGTTCTTAGCATAGGCAGCAAAATATAGATTCCATTTTCACCTCTATTTCATCTGTTTCCTTCAGAAACTGAAGTTATTCCGTATATTTATTGCATGCCTTCTTTCCAGTAACGGATATCACAATGCCCTCCTATCGTAATGAAGCCCAGGCAGAACTTGAGTCATCATGGCATGTTGGATATTTAGATGGTTTTCTAACGTTCCCATTATATTTATAAGCAACGAGAAAACAAAAAAATCATCGTGATTCAACGAAAAAGATTCAGTGGCTTCGTGCATACGAACAATCTACCGCTTAACTAAGATTTGCAAAGTAGCTGATACTACTGAATTTGAAATTATCTCATGAACGTAACTCGACAAGTATATGAAAAAAGTATAATTTTGGGATGATTTTAGTCCTGTGGTCTGTGTAATGCGAGAAAAAGGCTTCGAAATAGAAAAACTTTCAGAGAACACAAAAGCTAAACAGAATCAAGACGAAAATTTTCGTCAGGACAAAACGAAAATTTCCTGCTTCCAGCGAAGTCAGGCTGTGTTATCGAAGATGTTTTCATGCAAAGAATACCTCTGAGTTTAATTTACTTACCTCGTAATATTCCACACTAGAGAAGCTGGTCGGGATTAGAATAACTATGAGTAAAGCTACGATGCCTACGACAGCTGCTATGATCGTTGGGGTAGCGCTCGCCATCTTGTAAAACCTGTGTAAGATAACAAACCAAGTTCAATTAAGCGGGCAGAAACATTCCTGTTTGGAAAACCACTGAAGAAGTACGTCATTTGTTGTGAAGCTTAATGTAACTACGGAGTTTATACAAAAACCTTAAACACCTGCTCTTTGTGGTTCTGTTAAGATGTCTTTCAATCTCGGGCTCTGTTGACAGTAGCTCACTAGGGATTTACGATCAAGCTTTACTCGATGATACTTTCAGATTGTTCTGTATTTTTTGCCATTGTTAATCTTATCACACCTCATTTGCATTAAATCTTGAACCCAGGATGTTAATCATGAACAAAGAGTTTTTCCTGTTGTTGTGTGCATATTAATTAGGTTTAAATATTGGAAACTAATCGAGTTCCATCACGTCCTCGACCGAGTCGAACAGGGATGTAAAAGATTATGGATTGCGAGATGAGCAAATCGAAGATAGTTATCGGAATAGTGGTCGTTGCAGCAATCATCTTTGTTGGCGCTATGGTAGGGACCTCGTTACGAAAACTAAGCACAGAGGAAGGTATGTAAATGTTGAAGAACTTGCTACCCAATCTGCAGAATTTTTAAGAATTTAGAAATTGCTGATCAAAGTAAAAGAGTTGGATGATTGTTGTAAACTCGTCTTAATTGTGAAAGATTCGAGATTTGCGTAAACGAAGCGGATGAGTTTAAGCCAGCGGAATGAAAACTATCAAACAGGAAAGGAACAGATTCGTTGACACTACTCTGGTGTGGACCAAGCGGAACAACTTTAAAGGCAAAATTCTATTCCAGTCAAGCCTCTTTTGATCTCTTTTCGCTATTAGGAAGGAGCTCGCGAAAACCCACGTGTCATTCAAAGAATTTTTCTTCGTCACTTTACCATATGTAAACAAAACACTGTTTACCAAAAGGAGTGAAAATAGTTCTCTTGATTAGAGAAGTGTTCTCGTCCAACTTCAAAAAGCTAGGTCAATAGAAGCGTCAGGTTAGGTTCAATGTATTTTGAATAAAGTTCTGAAAACTAGCTCGTCCCGTTTACAAGCGGTCAAAGGAGGTTTGCCTTTCTGTGTTAATGGGACCAAATTGTCCAGATCGTTTCGGTCACGTCCGCTTTACCAAGTTCAAATTTGTGAATAAAAGATGTACAGATGTATGTTGTATGCAAACTGTGTTCTGATTCGCTACCTGAGCGGGTAAGATGGGTCCATCTTGCCCGTTTGGGACTATTTCGATTTCGATTTCGATTCTATTCGATTTCGCGCAAGAAAAAACATTGCAGTGCGTGGAGCGGACTAAAAAATTCGAAATTTTTGGACAGTGTGGGCGATAGAAGGGCAAAGAGCGGCAGAAAACAGTCAAAACAAAATAAACATAAACTACTCTCGTGGGTTTATTATGTTACAAATGCTACAAACACAGTTGGCATTCAGGTTCCCAGCTCTTGAAATAAACAAATCATTCTTCATAGATAAAAATAAGAGAGATGGTAAGTTTTGAGCTCAAGACGAAAAACATCTTTCTGTAAATCATTCTTTATTGTTGATAGAGCGAAATTTTCATGCTATATGATAAATCCTTCATTGACCAGGCTTGTTCGGATGTAAGCCTTGTTCTTCTTTTTGCGTTTTTATAAACCTCGAATTTGTCTCGGTCTATAAAAACGCCAAAAAAAGACCTCTATCAATATTCAGCCATCTTGACCTCACGCTCGGTAGATAACGCATATATCACATTCTTTTATCTGTGACAGTCGGTGTGGCGTACAATATCCATGAGAAAAAGCTGTCAACTGAGGTGAAGAGGGAGGGGCTTCACTCTGGTTCTCCTGGTTACCGCTTCATCATCTTTCCCAGTGTGTTTCAGAGCATAAGTTTCGATGACCTGGAGTGTCTAAACAAAGATGGCATCGAGATAGAGTTGAATGTACAGTTTCAGTATCGGGCAAGACCCAAGGAACTTCGAGATCTCATTTTGCAGTTTAAAGACAAAGACAGCTACTTGAAACTACTAAAGTAAGCGTATCAAATGAATAGATCTGTTTATGGTAGTCATGAAAACCAAGTGATTTTAAGCGTTTATTAACTGGCTCTAAAGGAATCAATGAGTTTTGTAGGAAACATTGAGTTCGAGGGGAGACAAAACTTACTGTTTCCAAAGGGGTCAGTGATTTAGCGTTTTGTCATACCTCCCAACTGAAAATTATTGGACTGGCACACAAATTTGTCGCAGTTTCAAGGAGCATGACAATATTACTTGCGAGTCGAAAGTTTAAATTGTTGTTTGGAAATTTTGACCCATGGCACGTGTCACGCTTATGGCACGTAGCACGTCCATGGCACAGGGCACGTGTCACGTCTTTCTGCAATCGCAAAACGTACTTGAGTTGGGAGGGATAACAACCAAATTTTGAAATGGAGATCCTAAAATATATTCAGGTCTCATCACAAAGTGCGACAAATATTTGCTATTTGTTTAATTTTAAACATGCAATTTTGAAAATTGCGGGAAAACGTTTCAGTAACCAATTAAACCGTTTGCTTATTTATTCCTATTATCAGGAGCATTGCTGAGTCCGCCATCCATGATTCTTGTAGTGCGTTCAATACCACACAGCTACAATCTGAAAGAGCTTCATTTCAAGATCTCGTCCGTAAAACTATCGGTCGAAGATTTGACAATGTAGGAGCTGATGTCGAAGACCTACAGGTAACTAGCAGCATGGGAATGAGCATGAAAGAGCTGGAGTCCGATGAATTAAAAAACAAGGTTTCGAACCCCGTTCCCAGAGGATTTCAGCCCCTCCACCTTTCTCCACGTCGAGAGGGAATGTGAAAGGAGATGAAAGAAGAAATATCTCAACCCTAACCTCGTACTCAGACCTTTCACGGCCAAGCAGTTGTAAATTACATTTAAATTAAACGGTAGGATCTGGGTACGAGATTATCTCAACCTCTCCTCTCTCATCCTTCCTTCCTCTTCACGAAGTCTCAGTCACTTACATGCTAAAAGTCTGTCAGGCTCTAAGGCCACCTGATAACCTGTCAAAAAACGAGGGGGGAGGGGTCTGAGGTCACCCTTCCCCGAAAAAATTTTGAAAACTATCCTTCATATGAACCTCCTACTAAAACAAAACAAAATGTCGTCTCGATTTAAGCCCCACCCCCCCACCCCCACCCATCCCAGCTCCGCCGTCCCTGCAAGGAATGGTTATTTAATAAAAGAGGTGTTTCTGTATATGGTGATCTTTCGTTTATACTCAAGGCCTTAATGTCTGATTCAACGGTGGAACTGTATGGAGAAATCAGATGCTGATCATCCGTAAGGGGCTAAAGAATACACTTCTGAGAGTTAAAGGGTGGAAAAGTTTATTTCCCTCTTGAATTAGTTTTTGACATGATGAATATTTTTCTTTCCTTTAGGTTGAAAACATCATGCGCCCTGAATCCTACGAAAAAGTCATCCGAACTAAAGAAGCCGCCAAAGAAAACATCAAGATAGCAGAGAATGAACGTCCACGACTTGTTGTGGAAGCGAAATCTGAGAAAGAAGAAGCTGTCAAGCAAGCTGAGATCACCATCCAGCGGGCGGAGTCGGAGGCCAGGGTGCTCTTGTCCAAGGCGGACGCAGAGGCCAGCAGTATTAGAGCAGCATACGCTGCAGAAACGGCAGCATTCCAGAAACTCAAGAACGACACCCTTAGTAATAGTGTAGCAGGACTTCTGTCGTATCTTGGGGTGCGACTTATCGCTGAGAACAATAACACAGTTAATGTAGCGCTGGATGCTCCAGCTAAAACCAAGTATACATACACCTAACCCTTTAGTGCCCAACGCCTAAGCTATAATTCACCCTTGAAGCTGCTGCAGATTTTCCTTTGAGGGTTATTGGTGTCATTAAGATAATCCACTTGGCAAGCTATATGTCAAAAGCTGCTACACATTTTCATTTGAGGGCTCTACGTGCCATCAAGATATTCCTCTTGGCAAGTTATATGTAATCAATTCTTAAGTCATAGATTTATGACAAAAAAAATTCAACCCTTGCAATTAACGGGATTCGCTAAAGTAAAGTCGTAATATTCTGCTTAACTCATATTTACCTGAGCTGGGCTTTGCTTGTAATGAACTTATAAACTTGGCTTTGCTCTATTCGGTCACAGTAAATTCCAAAAAGAGTTTAGGCTAAAACAAACAAAAAAACAAATGTATATAGAAAGACACGCTGGAGTTCTTTTTATCAGTAGAGTAGTTCTCAATTGAGTATCGAAAAACCAAAACAATCCCAACGACCAATCAGAATTAAGGTTTACATTCTCATTAGCCAATGAGAATTCAAAGTGAAAACAAGCTAACTGCTTGAAGCGCGGGAAAACGTGAAAGACCGAATCGAGATTGATTTTGAATATGATTGGTTGACCGGATGGCGCGAATTTTCTGGGCCAATTACAGAGCAAGTTAAGTAAATCCAAAGCATTACCGGAATACTTTCGACACTCAAACCAAGAGAGCAATGCATATCTTAATTTCAAATTAAGAGGAAAGACAACTCCTCCATGAAATGTTTTTGTAACGGCAATTGAAAGCGTAGTAAAACCAAAGTAATGAATTGTTTGAGGTAAATACAATCGCTTAGGCTGGTTCCAAAATAAATAATAAAAACAATTTGCATCTTGGATTTCTGATATCAAAAGTAAAAAGGAGTTTGAGCAAACTACGTTAGGGCCAGACCACCACCCCTCCTCCATTCTCCATTTGCAACACCACCGCTAAGCGATTTTACTCTTCTAAGATATAACTGCTTTGATTTTACACTGTAGATAGAGAAACTAGAGACTGCCTTCAATCTACATTATCAAAAACTGTCTACTGTGTCTACACTCAAAACACCTTCAATTGTAGTAAAAATGAGTTTAATCGTTCGATTGGTGTCTACTGCTCTATAGCACAATAACTTAATCCCCTGAGGTATTTTAGTTACGAAAGCTCAATGGTTGCTTACAGGTAAAGCTTCACCCAAAGTCTTGCTTAATTTCTCCATAAATAATTCAGGTCCCAAAATTTCACGACTTTTTATTGACAAAATGCCGTTTTTGATAATTGCATATTCTTTGCACACGCAAGGACACCTAGAAATTATTCATATAGTTCTAAAATGCGCGCACGTCCGCCTAAAAGGCGCGTAAGTAATCCAAAAACCCAACCACACTCAATTATTAATTTATCCGAGAGACGATTAATCTCGTCAGCCTTTTCTCCCCACTAAGTCGGTTATCTTTTGATCAAGGTATAGTTTCTTTTGAGAAAATACCTTCTACATGTAGGTTTGTTTCGTATGATAAAAGCAATTTAAGAGCTAAGCCAAAGCCAAGTATGATATAAGATACTAATGCATCTGTTGACTGGTTTAGTTGAGATTTCCCCTTTGTTCTTGATCCAACTCTATGGCTTCAAAAAGCGACTTGAAGTTACCGGCTCCAAAGCCCTGCACAACAAGAAGAGAAAAAAAGAAGAAAAAAAAGAGATTCAGTCTGTTGCATATTCATCTGAAAAATTAAATTTATCATTTTGATATACCAACGACAGTTTGCAACTTTAATATTGCCCACTTTCAAGCCATTCTATGTTTATAAGAGGGAAAGACGATTCAAAACCAGAAGAAAGTTTTCAGACAACGAGCAGCTCTACATAGAACGAGGAGCTCTTCATAGGGCAGTTTTCCATCGATAGTCTAACGTGATCCTGGATTGCATTGCGTTTGTTATGCTTCGCTCTGTGATTGGTTTTTTGGAAATCGCATGTCACCCTCTCAACCAATCGGAAGCAACGCAGACACCAATCACGACTTGGTCACCCTTTCACACTTTCACACTTTCTTCACACCTTCACTTTGAAAACTCACTGGCTTTGATCTTTTTAGTGGTTGGAATGTCCTTGCCCCAGAATTAACGACAATCAGTTGAAGTTGCTTTAGTTTAATTGCCAGCTGTCCCCTCGCACCAATCGAAAGACGATCC